CCGGGAATCACACTGTCTGGGAATCACACTGTCAGCTCTCCCAGGAATCACACTGTCAGCTCTCCCCGGAATCACACTGTCAGCTCTCGCGGGAATCACACTGTTTGCTCGCTAGGAATTCTCACTGTCTGCTCTCTCAGAATTCACACCATTCTATCTCCTGGAATTCACATCATCCTCTCTCCTGGAATTAACACCGTTCTCTCTTCCAGAATTCTCACTGTCTGTTCTTCCGGAATTCACACTATCCTCTCTTCCGGTAATCATGCTGTTTGCTCTCCTGGAATTCTCACTGTATGCTCTCCCAGAATTCTCACTGTTGAATGAAAATGAGTTAGTAGGTGGGTTAGTAAGATTGCAGATGACACAAAGATCGGGGGAGTTGTGGATAGTGTGGCAAGTTGTCAAAGGATACAGCAAGATATAGATCAGTTGCAGATATGGCAAATGGAACTTAATCCAGGTAATTGTGCGGTGTTGCACTTTGGGAGATCAAACGTTAAGGAAAAATATACAGTTAATGGCAGGACCCTGATTAGCACTGATGTATATAGGAACCTTGGGATTCAAGTCCATAGCTCCCTGAAAGTGGCCACGCAAGTAGATAGGGTGGTAAAGAAAGTGTATGGCATGCTTGCCTTTATTGGTTAGAGAACTGAGTACAAGAGTTAGGATGTCATGTTGCAGCTTTATAAGACTTTGGTTAGGCCACACTTAGAACATTACATTCAATTCTGGTTGCCACATTACAGGAAGGATGTGGAGACTTTGGAGAAGGTGCAGAAGAGGTTTACCAGGATGCTGCCTGGATTAGAGGGTATGAGCTATAAGGAGAGACCAGAAAACCTTAGGTTGCTCTCTCTGGAATGGCGAAGGCTGAGGGGAGACTTAGTAGAAGTCTATAAAATTATGAGATGCATAGATAGAGTTGGCAGTCAGAATCTTTTTTCCCAGAGTTGAAATGTCTAATTCCAGGTGGCATGCGCTTATGTTTTGAGGGGGAATGTTCAAAGGAGATGTGAGGGGCAAGTTTTTTTTATACAGAGAGTGGTAGGTGTCTGGAATGTGCTGCTGGGGTGGTGGTGGAAGCAAATACAGTAATATTTAAAGGACTTTTACATAAGCACATGAATATGCAAAGAATGATGGGATACAGGCCAAGTGCAGGCAGAAAGATTAGTTTAATTTGACGACGTGGCACAACATCATGGGCCGAAGGGCCCGTTCCTGTGCTATTATGTTCTATGTTCTGTGTTATACCTGCTCTCTCGGAATTCTCACTGTCGGCTTTCCTGGAATTCACACTGTCTAATGTGACCTGGGGGATTTGGGGCAGAAGTTGCCCCTTCCTCAAGTATGGATAAAGCTGGTAAGTATGATGAATTCATCAGGTGAGAGATCAAACGTCAGTTCCCATTATTGAGTTACATTCTCACAGTTGTTCTTAAATACAATCCAAATATTATTTACATGGTCAAACATCCAATGTTGATGCTTAGTATTTGCAACTCCTCAATAAATTTATTGCCAATTAATTTTCAATGAGGAATTCTTTTTCATTAGTAATGTGGCACCCTGGATCCACATAACACTCAAATCCCAATGCACCCAAAGCTCACAGAATTTTCAAAGCAATGGAGTATTTGGAATTTGAAATTCCCTTTTGGTACACACATTGTCCATTAGTAACCAATGACCAAGTGTGATCCACTCGATCAAAATCCTCTCTCCTGCACAGCCCCCGCGCAATATCTGAGTTGCCCTTGGGATTTTGTTGCATTTCCCAGTCACTGGGTCAAGCTGTGACTAATGATTAATGAGAAAAATCAACATTGGATGTTTGACCATCCCTTCCTGTAACTAATCTAGGATTGGGAAATCCTATATAAGTTCCTGCTGCTGCATGTTGTTACTCATTTGTGTTATTTTGGATTTGACTGGAGAAAATGAGGTGCAGTGTTGTGTTGCTGTTTGCTGTGCTCTCCCTGAGAACCGGAGCTGCCGTCCCCCTGAGTGAAACTGACTATGATCAGGTTCAGGAAAACTTTGATTTGAATCAGGTAATTGATGTTAGATTTAACACAGTAAAACTGGTTTCCTGGGTTTTGGAGACTGTAGTCCTTCCTTTAAATTCAATTATGGGATGTGGGCAGCATTAATTGCCCTTAAGAACATAGAACATAGAACAGTACAGCACAGTACAGGCCCTTCGGCCCACGAAGTTGAGCCGAACTTTTACCCTAAACCTAAGGTCTATCTAACCTCCACCCCTACATTATACTATCATCCATATGCCTATCTAATAGCCGCTTAAATGCCCCGAATGAGGCCAACTCTACTACCCTCTCTGGCAATGCATTCCACACCCCTACCACTCTCTGAGTAAAGAACCCACCTCTGACATCTCCCCTATATCTACCTCCACTCACTTTAAAACTATGCCCCCTCATAATAGGTACCTCCATCCGAGGAAAAAGTCTCTGGCTGTCCACTCTATCCATACCTCTGATCATTTTGTACACCTCTATCAAGTCACCTCTCATCCTTTGCCGTTCCAAAGAGAAAAGCCCTAGCTCTCTCAAACTTTCCTCGTAAGACATTCCCTCCATTCCAGGCAACATCCTGATAAATCTCCTCTGCACCTTATCCAACACTTCCACATCTTTCCTGTAATGAGGCGACCAGAACGGGACACAATACTCCACATGTGGCCAAACCAGGCTTTTGTACACCTGGAGCATAACTTCACTGCTCTTGAACTCAATCCCTCTATTAATGAAAGCTAACACACCATACGCCTTCTTAACAACTCTATCCACCTGGGTGGCAGCTTCAGGGAACTGTGGACATGAACCCCAAGATCCTGCTGCTCCTCCACACTACCAAGAATCTTTCCATTAACCCTGTATTCTGCTTTCAAGTTTGTCCTTCCAAAATGAATCACCTCAAACTTTTCAGGGTTAAACTCCATCTGCCACTTCTCAGCCCAGCTCTGCATCCTATCAATGTCCCTTTGTAACTGATAACAGCCCTCTGCACTATCCACAACTCGACCCACCTTCGTATCGTCCACGAACTTACTAATCCGCCCTTCCACTCCTACATCCAAATCATCTACAAAAATCACAAATAGAAGAGGACCCAGGACAGATCCTTGTGGTACACCACTCGTAACTGAGCACCATGTTGAATATTTCCGTCCACTACTACCCTTTGTCTTCTAAGGGTCAGCCAATTCTGAATCCACTCTGCCACATTTCCCCCTATCTCATGCCTCCTTACCTTCTGCGTGAACCTACCATGGGGAACCTTACCAAATGCCTTACTTAAATCTATGTATACCACATCCACTGCTCTACCTTCATCCACGTGTTTGGTCACCTCTTCAAAGAATTCAATAAGGTTTATGAGACATGATCTACCTCTCACAAATCCATGCTGACTATCACAAATCAAACTGTGCCTTTCCAAGTGATCATAAATCCTATCTCCCGAATGTATTAGTTCACTTCCTGGCTCATGCTCTCTCCACTCCCGCCGCTGAAAGCAAGAGGGGTAAAGGTGGGGGTGAACTGCCTTTCTGAACCGCTGCAGGCCATGTGCTGTAGGTTGACCCACAATGCCCCTAGGGATGAAATTCCAGGATTTTGATCCAGCCACAGTGAAGGAACGGCAATTTATTTCTCAGTCAGGATGAGAAGTTGCTTGGAGGGAATCTTGTAGTGTTCCCCATGTATCTGATGCCCTTGTCCTTGATACAGAGTGTTGGTCTGAAAGGTGTTGTCAAAGGAACTGTGGTGCATTTCTGCAGCACATTCTTGTATATGGTGTAGCAACAGAACACCCTGTTGTGGAGGGAGTGGATGCTTGTGGATGTGGTGCCAGTCAAGGGGGCTGTTTTGTCCTGGATGGTGTCAAGCTTCTTGAATGTTGTTGAAGCTGCAATCATCCAGGAAGTAGATGTATGTAAAAGTAGGGATCTTTTGCTACAATTGGATGGAGGTTGTATCTTGAGAATTGGGTATGCGTTTTGTCTCCTTTTGTAAGCAGGGAATGTTCACTCAGACAATTCCTGGAATGAAGGAGCTAATCACAAGGAAATGTTGAATAAGTGATCATAAAGAAATATTTACGATTCTGAGGGGTGTTGATGGACTAGATGTGGAGAGGATGTTTGCTTTTGTGGAGAAATCTGGAACTGAGGGCACAGTTTAAAATAAAGGTACTCCCATTTAAGACAGAGAAGAGGAGGAATTTCTTATCTCAGAAGATTGTTAAACTTTGGATGTGTCTCTCTTCGGAGAGCAGTGGAGGGCGGGTCATTGAATATCCTCAAGGCTGAGTTACAGAGATTTTGATCAGTGAGGGTTACAGAGGTCAAACAGGAAAGTGGAGTTGAGGCTTCAACCAGACAGACCACAATCTCACTGAAAGGTGAAGCACACTCAATATGCTGAATGGCCTACACCTGCTCCTATTTGATCTTAGGATCAATATCCATTGCTGAATGAACAAAAATGACCTTCACTTAACCTTGGGAAGACTAGAGCCAAGATTTAGGTCCATGCTCCAAACTCCATTCCCAAACTCCCAACTCTATCTCTTTCCCACAAAAATCTCTGTGGCTGAACCAGGCTGTTCTCGAGCTAAGTATCATGTTCCAACTCGCTGCTGGACTGCCTCTCACATTTCCTCCTCTAGCCAGAAACTTTAAATCATCCAAAATATGGCTCCTGTGTCCTTGCTCCCACTAAGATCCTTTCACCTATCATCACTATTCTCTCTGACTTATACTTCTTATTAGTAACATCTCAACCTTAAAATTCTCATCGTGGTCTTTGAAATCCCTCCGTGACCTCAGCCCTCCCGACCTCTGGAACCTCCTCCAGCTTCACAACTCTCTGAGAGATTTATATCCTTCTAATTCTGGCCTCTCTAGCTTCCTCACTTTAATTCACCACATCATTGGCAGCTGTGCCTTCACATGCTTGGGCCCTTGGCTCTGGAAGTCACTCCCTAAACTTCCCAGCATCTCTACCCCACTTTCCTCTTTTTAGCTGATCCTTCAAGCTCCCACTTTGACCACACTTTGCTCTTTTGCCTAATATTGCCTTCTGTGACTCAGTCATAATTTGATTTATCATATTCCTGGGTAACACCTGGAAGTTTTTATACTGTTAAAGGTGCTATATAAATGCAAATTAATGTTTTTGGTTTAATACAACAAACTTCAATCCGTGGATTATATCCTATGGTTGTAACTACTTTGCTTTTCTTCAGTTTCTTGGGACATGGTTTGCACTTGCAACTGGCTGTAACTGTTCCTGGTTCAATAAATATAAGGATACAATGACAATTGCTAAGGTAACATTATCAACGTCCGAGGAATCGAATAAGTTGATCGGCAAGTTTGAATTTGATAGGTGAGGATACTTATTTAGATTTTGTGTGTGATATCCAGCAATTCAAAATGACAAGGGATGTTTCTAATTTAAAGAGTATGATAAGGGGGAATGAGGAGCACAGTTAACACTTCGGGTTTCTGACCTTAATTCAGAGTTAACAGTGCAGAGTGTAGTGTGTGGAACTGACACTGCAGTGTGTGCAATTGAAAGTGTAGCATGTGGAATTGGCAATACAGTGTGTAGAATTGATAGTAGTGTGTGGAACTGACCATGCAGTGTGAGGAAGTGACAGTGCAGCGTGTAGTGTTTAAAATGGACAGTGCAGTGTGTGGAGTGTGGAACTGACAATGCACTGAACAATGGACAGTGTGTGCACTGACAGATCAGAGTGCAATGTATATCATGTGGACCTGACAACTAGTGTGCAATCTGTGGTATTGACAGTGCAGTGTGCACTGTGTGGAATTAACACTGCAATGTGTAATGTACGGAATTAACAGCGCAGTGAGCAATGTATGCAATGGATAGTGTAGTGTGTGGAACTGACAAAAAAATTGTCAGAAAAATACACAAAATGAGGGAAATGACTTTGTGAACAAAGTTACTGATGTGAAATTTGTTAATTTCAGTGTTGAATCTGGGTGTTTAAAAACACGGCACTGTCAATACCACA